ATTTCTTTTTTACAGTCCGGTTGAACTACAATTAATCCATGTTCAGTAATTGAATATAAAAATGTACCTGATGGTGAAAATGAACAATTAGATGATATAAATGGTTGTTCTTCTTGCATTGTTATTTCTTTTGGAATGCTTGGATTATACCATCCTAATGAAACAGTCTTTCCATATTGGAATGTTGCAACACATTCACTTCCTTCAGTGTATTTATCTTCTTTAAGCCATCCTTTAAAATCAGTAACTTCAATTGGATGAAAGACTAATGGTGTATATTCATCATTTTCTTTTAAGATTTCATCAATCTCTTTTTTAGTATAAAATTTTAATGTGTTTTTATTATCGAATTTCAATTCAACAAATCTTGTTTTAAATTTAATTGCTGCTTCATCATCTTTAAAATCAATAAACCCAATTCCTGTAGTTTTTTGACTTGTTTCATCAACAAAAACTTGTACATTATTTGGTTGGTCTGATAATTCTGCTCCATTCTTTACTAATACCATTCTTTTTAAGAATAACGTTAATTTAGGAACTGAAGCAACAGGAATTCCTACAGGAAGTCCATCACAAATAAGTACAGAAGATTGTGTAATTTTAGAGGTTTTAGTTGAAGCACTCATCAATGAATTAAATTTTCTTTTTATTTTTTATTAACAACCCTTGTTATTTACTTTTAGTTATTTTATGAATTATTTATTAAAATTGTTTTAAATAACGAAAAATTAGTTATTTAATTAAAAACAAAGAATTTAATAACATTAATAATTAAGAATAACAATTTAATAATTTAGTATTTCTGTTATTTATTGTTATTTATTCAAGTTAATAGAATAAGTAAACAACATTGATATAAGTCATTTAACTGTCAGAATAAATGTTAAAATAAATTAAAAATAATACACCTTTACCTTTATTTGTAATATTCTTGAAATGGCATTTCTTCTAAAGGAGTTTGAAAAAGATCTTTGTACATTGAATCAATAAAACAATTATATTCAACAATATTAATAGGTAATGTACTAGAACCATGACCAACATATCCTGTTATATCTGGTCCCATATTAGAGATTGTTGAAAGAATAGAATAATCCGCAACACTCATGAAAGTAAGGATTAGAAAATATTAAGTTCTTTTTTTATTTTTATGACAAAGATTTATGTAAAAATAGATAAAAAAGTAAATAATTCTTTCTTTAGATAATAACCATTCTTCTGAATTTTTATTGTTTTGAATCTATATTTAGTAATCTTCATCATTAATTATCAATACAAAAACTACTCTTTAAACTGTTTTCAAAACTTCTTATTTCTTTTTTTTAATCATTTTTGTTGTTGTTTTGTTATTTGTCTTTTCAAAAAAAAAAACAAAATAAAAAGATTAGTGACTAACAGAAACTTCAATGGGTTTTTATTTACTTTATTTTGAGAAGATATTAAATTACTTTCGTTAAATTATCTTACGTTGAGAAATTTCTCAGATATCAAAACTCATTAAAAAGAATGAAATTATGAAACACCTCTAATATAACAACGACGTAAAGATTTAAAAAAAAAAAAACACTTAGTGTTTATACTAAATTAAATGTTTTAACTATAATAAGTTTATTTTTACTATTATAAAAAGAACTCTTTAGTTGTTAAAACTAATTCTTGGATTGAAGTATTTACTACATAAGTTAACATAATTTTGTTGAATAAATAAATGGATAATACAATTATTTCTTATAATATTTTAGATATGAACATCGTTTCTTTCAAACTTTGAATTGTGCTATTCAAAACATAAATATCTTTTCATCCAAAATAATCTTCCTAGTTCTTTTCTTTTCTCCCAAATTCTATGCAAATAACATTTTTCTATTATCAAAAAATTAGAAGAGGGTACTTGTTTTATTTAAATAATGTCTTGCTGTAAGACGTTTTCTATTGTGACTAAATACACAACAAAGTTAAATTTGCTTCGATATTATATTGGAGGATTCCTTATGAATATGTCGACTTATTTCTTTTGGTTAGTTGTTCCTCTTCTTATGCAAGATAGAGATGCTTCATCTTTTCAAATTGCTTTAGCAGATGGTATTACATTTGGATTAACAGGTATCGTTTCACCATTTATGGGGTTTATTGCTGATAAAACAGACCCTGCACTGATGTGTCGAATCTCTTTTATATTACAAGCGACATGTAGCTTAACGATTGGGTTAATTTATATAAAAACAGAGTCAATTTTACCCATTTATTTTCTCCTTCTTCAACAATCAGCTGCTTTAGCTTTCTTTTGGTCTCCATGCGAAAGTTTAATTACAACAGAATCATATAAAGGAGAAGAAAATAAAAAGTTATCAATGTTTGCATTATGTTGGTCATTAGGAAAGGCAATTGGATTTTTATTAGGAGGAACATTAAAAGTTAAACTTGGTGCTAATTCTTCACTATTATTATGTGGAGGATTAACTATTTTAGCATATGTTCTATTTCCAACGTTACCACAAAAGAATCATTTAATTGAACGACCAAAGAAGAAAAAGAAACAAAATCAAGAAGACAATGAAAAAGAGATGGATGATGAATTAAATACAGAAAATATTTCTGATTCAGAAACAAAACAGATTGGTTGGAAAGAAAGAATAAATCAAATTAATCATCCACAACCTCCAAGATTTATTCTTTATTATTTTATTAATGCACTTATTCTACATTTCCATGTTTATGGAACAATTGCAATTTTATGTAACCAATACATTTTATATGCAGTTGATAGAGAAATTATTTTAAATGGTATGAATGATGATCCAGAAGTATATTTAAGTGTTTTTCTTGGAATTATTTATTTCTCACAAACTATTTGTTTCTTTATTATTGGATATATTGAAGCATGGCAATATAAAATGATTCTTAGTACCATTATGTCAATTGTTTTAGGGTTAGTATGTCTTGCATTAAATTTCATCAAAAATGGTTGGGTTTGTTTAATTTTTGCAATTCCAACTGGCTTTATTTCTGGGTTAGACCTTCAAATGAATGTATTGTATTCGGTTAAAGTCTCAGCAAAAAGAAGAGGATTAATGATGGGATTAGTGGAAATGGTTGGAGAATTAACTTGTTGTCTTTCTCCTGTTGTTGCTGGTTTAATATCAACACAAACAGATAATTTAGAATGGTCTCAATGGGTTGGATTAATATGGGGTGGAATTGCTACTGTTGGATGTCTTATAACACAAACACTAAATTGTATTGTTTTAAAGAAACAAAAAGAATTAAAAAAAGAAGTTGAAGAAAATGATGTTGAAATAGACATTGATTCAATAAAAGAAAATAATCAAAACTCTGAAGAAACAATAAAAAATGATGAAGATAAAGTTACTGAATTAGATTAAACAGAAAATTATTATTATTAGTATAGAACTACTATTAAGTTTGAATTATTTCTATTTTAACTTAACAACTGAATTAATTTATTTACTTTAATGTAAGAAATTGTTGTTTGTTTTCATATTTTTTTATTCTTTCATATTTCTTAATTATTCTTTTAAAAAATATTTAATAACAATAATGAAAGAAGTCATTATTATAAATAAATTAAACTCTTAACTCTTATCATTAAATACTTTATTATACTACTAAATAAAATAAATTTATTTTATTATCAGTTATACATTAATTACTCTTTACAATAAAAGATTCTCAACAAATTATTAAATAAAAAAGATTAAACTTAGAATTAATAAATAATACTTATAACTATAAATAAATTAACAGTTATTTATTAGTCTTTATAAATATTACAAATGAAATAATTTATATTTATCTCAAATACAATTAAAATAAAAAATGTACTTTGTTGTTTTTATTAATGTTTTTTTTTTGAATAATTCTTTTTCTTTTAAAGAATAAAACAAACAAAATACTTCCAAGATTTGTTTTAATTATAACATGAGATACAGAATATATTTCTTTTAATTTATTGAAAATAACATTTGTATAATCTATGATATTTAAAAACTGTTTTATCTTATATTATTTTAAAATATTTTTTTATTAGAAATAATATGGTTTTATTTTTTATATAAATATCTTCTCAATTAATAATTTCTTTAAAGAATAGTCAATTTTATAAATTACTGAATAATAAAAAAATAAAAAGCGGAATATTTTAATGGGTTTATTTTGAACAAACACTATTAAAATTTAAATGTTTTAAAGAACCTAATTTTATAACAAAATGATATATCTATTAATTTATGGTATACATTAAAACTGAACAAAAGAAAAATTCTTGAAACTAATGAAAGTAAAAAACTACAAATAAAATAATAGGATATTAAAGATTATTTTAATTTTAATAATTCTTTAAAAAAATTGAATATGTTATTTTAATTTAATATGAAAAGTAATAAAAAGTAATGACAAAAATATTCCTAACGATTGCTTAGACAATGGTTGGAGCATTAGAAGAAATTTTTGGCCATAAATCAGCTGATTCTTTTGAAACTGGTCCAGTAATAGCTGAACCTTTCATTTCTCCTTTCATGTTAACAATAACAGCAGCATTATCTTCAAAGTATAAGGTAACACCGTCCTTTCTTCTCCAAGTTCTTCTTTGTCTGATAATAACAGCAGTATGCATCTTCTTTCTGTATTCTGGTTTACCCTTCTTACAAGTAGCAACGACCATATCACCACATCCAGCTCTTGGGAGTCTATTTAATCTTCCATGGAATCCCTTAACGGAAATGATTGTGAGAGTCTTAGCACCAGTGTTATCAGCACAATTAACGGTTGAAGCATTATTCAAACCGCAAGTGACTCTGAATTTATTTCCTTGTCTTCCTCCAGCTCCTCTCTTTGGCATTGCAAAAACTAGTTTATTTTGTAGGGTTATTATACTGCTGTTTTATATTTTTTCCTTTTTATGGGGTTTTATTATTTCAATTAATTTATTATTATTGTTTTCTCTAAAAAATTTTTTAATTTATAAAATTGTTTTATATACCATTAAAATAATATTTGAAAAAGAAATTTTATTATGTCTTCTTTTACATTTTCTTTAACAATTATTCAACAATAGTTGGTATTTCTTCTTTTTCATCATCATCTTCCTCTTGTTCTTTATTTTGTTGTTCTGGAGGAAGTTCTGTATCACCTAATTCAATATCTGTTTCTTTAGAATATGGTGCACGTTTACCTGAAACATATTCTTTATGATGGTTTTTAACTAAACACATAAAGAAGAAAGCAATAATAAGAAGAATAAATACAGGAATTTGTGCAATACGATATGCATAATTGTATTTATACTTATTAGTAGAAAAAGCATGTGCACAAAGTTGTTTTACTATTGTTGAGAAGATTAATGGGAATACCATTCCACCAGCTCTTGCAGCAATACGTGTAACAGCAGAAAATTGTGCTAATTGTTGAACAGGAGCAAGTTCCATTACTAATTGACGAGAGGCAGTATAAACGACACTAAATGCTGGACCAATGAATATTATTGTTGGGATAATAATCCATTGAGAAAGTATTTTAGTACTTGAAACTTTCATTCCAGTAAGAACAAGACATCCCATTCCAAAGAATAATAAGATTAACATTAATTGTAATGCTCTTTTTGGTCCAAATTTATGTAAGAAAAATGCCCATGGAACACCACAAAGTAATGCAGTTACATTTAAAGCTAAAAATACAATGTCTGTTGCAGTTTTCTTCATTCCACACATTGTTGTTAATAAAACAACAAATAACCCATTTACAACACTTAATGCAGACAATGTACAACACCATGAAATAAACATAAATATACAATCCCTACTTTTAAAATAATTTTTAAATGAATCAATCAAATCTAATCCAATAACTTTTAATGTTTCTATAACAGAACGCTTAGCTGGTGGAGTACTTTTTTCTATACTGAAAACATATGGTAAGAAGACATATCCACCAAGGAAAAAGTTAAATAGAATCAATTGTCTTAATGGTCCAAAGTCAGGTTCTGCATGTGTAATTTGTAATTGATTAACATTTGAGTAATTTCCCCAAACAAGAGAACAACAAAATGAAACACCAATAGCAAGAATTGCACCAGTAAAAGAAACTGCACCTCCAACACTTTGTGCTAATGTTCTATTTTTTTGATCCATAATATATGGAATTTGACAATCATAGAACAAACGTACTAACTCAAAAGATGTTCTTGCAATACAAAACAATATACAAAGTAACCAAAAATGATAATAAAAGATACCAGCAATCAAAAAACATGTATAATATGTAATTGCACAAATTACTACAGCACCTTTACGAAATGAATAATAATCACTAAGACCTCCTACAAAAGGAGAAGCAACCATAGCAATACAATTAGCAACAGCATTACAAACAGTTGTCATTTGAACACCAGTTGAATTTTCATAACCTGCATATATAGATAATAATTGTAATGATGGACCAACAGTTACATTAACAATACAGTTATAAAAATGATAACTAATTTCAAAGAAATACCATAATATAACATTCCAAACATTAGTTGATTGTGCTTCAGTGATTTGAGCAACACTTTTTTGTTGAGTATCAATACTTGGAGTACTAGTTGTTTCTACAAGATGGGTATTTTCAGAAGCTGACATCTCAGTAAGAATTTTCAGTTATTCCAGACTTTTAACTTTTTATTTATTGGATAAAAAAGAATTTTCTTTTCATCTTCAATAGTTGTTTTGATTAATTTAGATTGATAAAATAAAATATAAATGGTTTGTCATTAAATTTATCTGATTAACAAGTTATTATTATGAAAGCATGTTTGGCGTAACCTTGTTCCTTACTTTTATAACAGAAGAAGATTTTTATTATGTTCTTCACAAAATGAACAGAAAAAGAATTAAAAAAAAAACAAATATTATTTTACAATTTTCAAGAAAATGCAACGACTTATTCATTACTCTTAATTTTATTATCACTAAACAGAAGTTATGAAAACAAGAAGATTGTACTACCTCAAAAAAATTTAGTAATTAAAAAAGTTAGGGTTTTTAATGAAATTAAAAAGAGAATTTCAAATCAACAATTCATTATGTCTCAAGACACTTTTAGATATCATTTCTATAACAATCCAACTGTACTTATTGCTGTTGCTGGTGGAACTGCTTCAGGGAAAACAACATTTTGTCAAGAAATTGCAAATACATTAAAAGGAGAGAAATTTGTAGTTATTTCACAAGATTCATTTTATAGACCATTAACAAAAGAAGAACATGATAATGTTGCTGAATATAATTTTGATTCACCAAGTTCATTTGATTGGGACTTAATAATTGATACATTAAAAAAAATAAAGGCAAAGAAAAATGTATCATTACCAGTATATGACTATGTTACTCATTCAAGAAAACCAGATTGGGTTTCAGTTGAAACTGGAGATGTTGTAATATTTGAAGGATTATATACATTTTATCAAATGAAAGAATATGAAAATTATTTTGATATGTTTGATTTAAAAATATTTATTGAATCAGATAATGATACTAGACTTGCAAGAAGAATTTTAAGAGATATTAATTATCGTGGAAGAACACTTGATTCTGTATTATTTCAATATAAAAAATTTGTTAAACCTGCATATGATAAATGGGTTTATCCACAACGTAAAAGAGCTGACATTATTGTTCCATGGGGAGAAATCGAAAAGGCACAAACACCAGGAGTATTATCACAAATGCCAGCATTAAAGATGGTTTCTCAATATATTGAACAATTTTTCATACAAAGACCATATAAAAAGATTTCAAGTATGAATAATTTTCAAATTAGTGCTGATTTAGACTATCAAAAAGGAAGTCTTTCTGATGTTGATAATTAATGTCTTTGTTTTTTTAACTTTTAGGTTTTGAATTAACTACAAAAATTCAAATGAACAACCCTTCTAATACTCCTCCTGTTCCTTTAATATTATTTCCCAAACTAGATCAATCTATTGTTGATGAATGTATTAATCAAGCTGGTGGTGATATTGGAAAAGTAGCTGAATTACTTGCTATGTCAGTTGGACCATTAAATTATGATGATGAAGATGAATTATTAAATAATAGTGAAGATGGAAGGACTAGTGAAAGTAGTGAGGATAATTGTAATATCCCACAAAATACATTACAAGCCCAACCTTTACCTCCATCAATAAACGAAAAATGGGAGGAATTAAAAAAGAAATTAAGTTCAGAGGAAATACAAGTAATTGAAGATGTGTTTAGATTAAAACTACATCAAATGGTTGAGACGTTAAGTCAAGAATTATTCACTAAATAACTTAAATTGTATGAAAATTCATTCTTATCTTTTCGGAAAAAAAATAATAACCCTTAAGGGTTTTCCAAAAATAATGAGAAAAAAATAATAAATTTAAATGGACTAAAGAATTATTAATTCATGTCAATACCTCCTGTTAAGGGTACTAATTATTTAACAACAAATATAATTCCTATTCTTCAGCGCTACAAAATAAGAACTGATCCAACTACACTCCAAATTAAAGGGATTAATTCTAATTTTGAAAAAGGAACAAAATATCTTTTTGTTCAAGTTAGTGATGGAACAACTTTTTGTTCATGTTATTTAGATTGCTCTAATTACCAAGAAAGAAAAAATGTAAATTTAAGTATTCATGATCTTATTGAAGTTGGTTCTGTCAGTTCTGAAAAAGTGTCTGGAAAAGAGCTTTTAACTCTTCATGACTTTAAAAAAAAGGGTCATTGCAATCTGCTAGGAAATCCTGTTCCTTTTGACCCTTTAAAACATAAACCTGATACAGGGATGACAAAGAAACAAAAAGAAGTTCCTAACACAACAAAAAAGAGTACATATACTCCCCAAAAACAAATAAATAGTCCAATTGAAAAAACAATACCTAAAACGACAACAACAAACCATCCATATTCTCCTACATTTCAAACACCATTTTCTGGGATTCCTCAAGGTGATGTCTCAACAATAAGTAATTCAGCTTCTAATAATCATTTGACTAGAGACTATAGAATAAAAGGAAATACACCACCAACTGAAGGCTCTTTTCAAGAGGTTATTGACCAATTAAGAGATCAATTAAAAATGAAAGAAGAAGAAATAGCTTATACAAAAAATAAAATTATGTGGTACAATGATATGTTAAATATTCAAGACCAACGTTACAAGGAATTAGAAAATAATTTAGAGTATGAAAGAAAAAGAACAAAATCCGCTAACGAAAATGAAAGTCAAAGTAAGAAAGAATTGGCAAAAATGAGTTCAGTGTTAAAAAGGTATCAAGAAGAAAATACACAACTAAGAAATTTACTTCAAGACAACGATAGAAAAATTCAACATATTGAAAGTTATAATAGTCAATTAAAAGAAGAAATTCAAACCAAAGAAGAAAAGATTAAACAATTAGAAGAAACTTTAAATGACAGAAAAATGATAATAGAAGGTACCTTTGATTTAAATTAATTCTTGTATGTTATTTATTACTATTTAATAAAATTTATTTTTAATAATAAGCAATTAATTAAATATTAATAGAACTAGCTTCTATTCTTCCTGGCTCAGGGGAGACTAATCCTGTCTCTTCGTCTTCTTCTTCAAGCAGCTCTACGGAGTATGTTTGGTTGTGATTGAAGCAGTATTCCATGACATCCATCATGTTTTTTATGACAAGGTTTTTTACTTCTTTCTCGATGTCAATTTCAATTTTTAATTCTTTGATTAATTTAATACTTTCTTTATTTATTAATCCATTTATTGAGATTACTACTGGATTTATTTTGAAATCTTTTAGTTTTTCTATTTTCATTAGAATATTCTTTAATTCCTTATACTTATTTCTTTTCTTCAAATACACTCCATTAATATTGTGATATTCAACATTAGTCATATCAAATAATAGACAAGTTTTATTCTTTTTATCTAATATATATGGTATTTTGTGGGATTGTCATTCACTTTTAGGCATTATTTATTTGTTCCATATCATTGTGATGTCTTTATATTTGAACACTGTTTCATATGGGGGTTTTTATATTGTTTATTTCATGTATATTTTCTTATTAATCCCTCCCATAATATAATATCTATATGGTCATGTTTTTCTATTTGTGATTTTTTTATGATAAATACAAGATAGTAGAATGTGTTTTACTGTAGCTATCTTGTCTTTACAAAGTGGGCAGTATTTTAATCTTTCATTTTTCATTATTTTTGATTTTCTATACTCACAAAATATTGCTCCATCTTGCATTTTAGTTAATTTGAGAAATGCATTTTTCTTAATATTGATTGACTTCCATGTTTTAACTGTAGTAGTTTTATCTACTCATTTTGACTCGAACCATCTTCTAAAGTGTCCACTTGTTTGATGACACTTCCATTTTTTGATGTTATTTGTTGGTCAATAATTTTTTTTATTTCTACTACTACTTCTTTTTCTTTTTTCTTTTCTATCCCTTCATTTATTATTTCTTCTATTTTTGTTTCATTTATTTGGGTACGAAAATTAGCAAAGAAAAAATGCATCTAAATAATTTACAAAAAAGAAAAAAGATGCAAAATATTTTGCATCCATAGAATATTCCATTTATTATATTTTACTCCTAAAATAAAAATAAAAAAATAAAAATATGATAAATATACAATCTGTATATATTTATGTTTATATTTTATAATCAGTTGTATTCATTTTGTATGAAATATTAATGAAATAAATGATTTGATTATTCATATTTCTTTTTATTCTTTTTATTCTTTTTATTTATATGTTATTTATCTATCGTATTTTTATATTTATTTCTCTGTTTATATTTATATCTTTGTATTATTCTTATTATCTATATATTATTATATTATTCTTATTTTATTATTTTTATGTTTATATTATTTAGATTTTCTTATTGTTATTCTTTATATTTAAATGTATTTGTTTATTCATCTTATTCATCTTTTATATTATTATCATTTATATCTATTTTCATTTTATATTTATTCTCTTTTGTTTTATATTAATATTAATTTTATCTTTTATACTTTGATTTTATTATTATATCATTGATTATCATTTCTATATTTATTTATCATTTATTCTTATTATTCTTTTGTTTTATATTCAATCTATGTTATATATTCATATCATTTTCATTTATATTTTATCACTTATTATATGTTATAATAATAACATAACACATATGATTGAATATATAATAAACATCATAATGAAGTTATACATATAAATAATAAACATAAAAAATAATAAAATATTTTTTTTCAATAAAACAATATTAATTATTTTACATCATTAAATTAGACACTTTTATTTCATATTTCTAATTTTTACATTAAAAATACACCATTTTCATTCTTTTCTTCTTTTATTACATCTTTGTGATTTATTATTTTTATATTCTTCTTCTACTTTCTTTTTATTCTTTCATATATTTGTATTCTTTTTATATTATTTGTTTTCGTTGTTTTTCTATTTCTTTCTTCTATTATTTATCAATTTTTATATTCATTCATTATTTTTATTTCTTTTTTATTAATTCTTTCGTATTGTATATTTCTTTATTATTTCATTTGTGTATTATCAAAATATATGTTTTATTGATTTTATGTTGAATAAATTATAGAATAATTCAATATTTTCATTCTTAATTATTCATTATTTATTCTGAAATGTTGTGTATATTTATTATATTAAATGAATATGATGAATGAATATCAATATTATTGTTTATTTGATTTTAAAAAATAATAAATGAATATGAAATAATAAATGAAATAAAATGATGAAGACAATGAAATGATAATGAAATAGAATAATCTAATATTGAACAAATTAAATAAAGAATATATTGAATATATTAATAATGTTACATTATTATTTGTTATTTCAATTATTAAATATTAATAAATTATTATTCATGAATATTTAATTGATATTTTACAATTTCATTTTCATTTTATTTAATAAATGAAATATAAATAATAAATGAATGAATAATAATTTAATATATGAAATAATAAAAAGAAAGATAAATAATAAAGAAATATGTTGTATTTAATATATAATATAATTTATTATCAAATATAATAATATCAAATGATGATTTATTTTTATTTCAAAATATTTTGCATCATTAATTTTTGCGCTTTTTTTTGCGCTTTTTTTATTTGTTTCAATAAAATTTGCATCCTTTATTTTTTTCTTTCTTTTCTTCTTTTATCATCTCTTTTGTTTTATTACACTTTATCTTCTTTCTTTTTATATTCTCTCCTTTCTACTTTTATTCTTTCTTCATCATATCAAACTTCTTACTTTCTTTTTATTCTTTTATATCATTCATTCTCTTCTTTTTCAATTATTTGCTTTTTTTCGTTGCCGTCACTAACCAATAAATCTTTATTGTAAGTTATAATCATTTCATCATTATTAATACATTTAGGAGGATTATTAAAATCAATTGCATCAAATTCATTAAAATATGTAATTAATATGTGTTTATATATTTGTTTACAAACATAATCATGTTTTAATATTTGATTCTTCTTCATTACATACTAACAATATATGACTAATAGATGCAATTGTGTTAGGGCAATGTTTACAATATTTTAAAGCATCATTTTGGAGTAATTTTGATTTAATACTTCCTGTCATAGTTACTCCTTCTTGCATCTTTACTATTTGGAGGAATGCATTTCTTTTTATGTTTAATGACTTCCATGTTATTATTGTTAATTTCTTATGATTGAAAGTGCCATTTGCACATCTTATATATTCACCACATTTCTTTTCTTTCAATTCACTTAAATATCTTTCATTTAATTCATTATTTACCCATTCAAATATTTCCTTTACATCATGCTTTCTTTCATTTAATTCTATTACATTCATTAATTCATTAAAATTAATATTCTTACCAAATGCTTTCTTCATTCTTTTAATTATTCTATTTGGATTTTCTTTTATTGCTTCTATCATTTCTCCTATTCCTGTGTTTGATATTTGTATTTTAAATATATTCTTAATAATTCTTTACCACATTCATCTCTTGCTGACATTAATCCTAATCCCAATTCATTTATTTTAACATATAATCTACTTTTTGGGATATTTCTACTGTATAATTGGAGGTGAATTAATGATTTTCTTATTTGTTTATCTATCTTCTCCAATTCTCCTAGTTTCCATGGGACAATACAAAATCCATATCTTAATTTGGAGATTATATCACTATTAATCTTTCTTATTGTAATTCAATGAGAATATTCAAATGAAAAAAAATATCTTTATTTTTAACAAAAAATAATTGTTATATTTCTTATGATTCAGTTGATAAAATAAATAAATAAAAAAGAATAACAAAACAAATAAAAACACAAGAGAATAAAAAAGTAAACATAACAACAAATTAATCAAACTAATGACCATGTTGTCATTAAACTAAAACAAAAAACAACATGATTTTTTTGAGGGAGTTTGAATAGAATCTAATTCTGGTTTAGGTAAAAACTCATTTGCATATTCAATAACAATTTCATTGAGAATACTTTTTATTTTTTCTATTTCTTCACAACATACATTATATCTTTTAGAATGTAATGTTTGTGTAATTTCATCAATAAGTCCTTCTGTACAATCTTCTTCATCACAATGAGTAACAATTATATATTTTCGTTTAGGGTTTGATTTTCTATAAAATATACTGTTAATAAATCCTTTTAAAAAAACAACACTTCCTTTATCAGATTGTGATATAACAAATATATGGATTGGACCATTACTGACATAAGAATCAACAGTTCCTCTTGTATTTTTGAACTCATCTCCAGAACAATCCCACTATTATATTATTCTTTAAAATTCATTAAAGTACTTTAATAAAACAATAAAACAAACAATAGTAACTTCAAGAGTAGTATTATTATGATTTACTTTTAAAGTTTTAGAGATTATTTCATCTGTTTTTAAATAAACAGACTCAAATTCTTCATTCTAAAATATTAATTTTTTATATCTAAATTAAAAATTAAAAAAAAAACTAACACTCCATATTTTAAGTAACGTTGTTTTTCCAACTCTTTCTGATCCAATAAGACAAATTGAAATCATTTTCTGATTATCTAATTCATTGACTTTTTCCTCCATTGAAGGGTGGAAATAAATGTTGTGAGATTTTTCTGTTGTTATTATATTTTTATTATATGTTTACTATTTTTTTTAAAGTTCTTCAAATAATAAGTTCTTTTTAGTTTATTTTAATCATTTCATATTTATTCTTATTTGTTTTTTTTTTTTGTAAAAGAATTTTCGTATTTTCTTTTTCTTTAAAGAAGGAAAAAAATAGAAAATTTAAATAATGCATCATTTACTTAAAAAAAGCATAAAATGCAATTGTCATTACTCCAATAATTGTAAATAAAACAACATAAAATTGCCATGTTGCTAATATTGGTTT